GGCTCCAGCTCATGCAACGGGTAGGTGCCAGCCCCTGCTGCAAGCTCCGGGTTAGTCATCCTGGGGAACAAGTGCGCGACTATCCTCTCGAGGCTTTCGGCGTCCAGTGGGGCGCGGTTGTTGGCTCTACCGACCTTCTTCACAATAATCTTGTACGCATTTCCCCACGGGTCTCGGTCAGCTGCCTCGCACAGATCAAGGAAGCATTTCTTCTTGCTGCCCTTTATTGCCGCCTTGAGAGCCCTTCTGCACCGGTGGTATGTCTCACGCTTTACCAGGTGTGACTGGGAACCGTACGACCGTTGGTATTGCCGCCTGGCTCTTACGCAGTCCTTCCGTGCCTCTGCTATCTCGTGATTCCACCAGTACACAGAGTCGCGATGCCTAGAGTGGGCGGTCCTGGAAGGAATGCACTCCTCGCAGGCCGTGAGCACCTGTGACATCACCGAGTTAGCCATTGCTTCAGGGTCCCCCGTCGCTTCCACTCTCTGCATCTTAGACGCGAAGGCTTGGGTGTCGAGCGAATCCACCCTGAAGCACTTGCGCTGCTGCGCGGGGGGAGGTGGTGGCCGTGTGTTCCCGGCGTCCAACGTGGTGAAGATCGCTGCATGGTCGCTTGCCGTGTACACCCTACTGAGCATCCACGTGCACTGCCCTGCTCTCGACCGACTGGCGAAGGTGAGATCTACTACAGAACCAGCTCCCGCCCGGCTGAAGGTGTGTTCCTGTCCTACGTTGAGTAGGGCCACATCCAGCGTTGAGAGTACTTCTAATAGGGTTCTGCCACGTGCGTTTGTGTTTGGGCTACCCCAGTCGACCGCCCAGGCGTTGAAATCGCCCGCTAGCAGAGTCGGAGAACGGCCTCTAGCATCAACAGCGAGCCTGTCAAGGATAACAGCGAACTCTGCTAGCGAGAGGCTAGGGGCGAGGTATATGCTGTAGACCCACCAGCCTCCAGCTTTGGCACGCACGAAGCCTTTGTCCGCGAGGACATTCTCCAGCCGCAGGGGCGTGTTTCCGCAAACCCACAGAGCTGCCTTGCCGGATCTATCCACGGCCCAATTGTGATTGCGTCCGCCTCTGTACGGCTCGCTTAGCACAGCATGCTCGGCTCCGCTTTCGCGGACCGTTTGCGACAGCAGATCTTGCGCCGCCGCACAGTGATTCAGATTAATCTGAATCACTTTCATGCCCTGTGCTTATGGCCTTCTCTGGAGGACGCCGCCAGTGGGCAGGAGCGGCTTCCGGCCTGGTGCCTCGTGTCCTTCCTTTTAAGCTGCTCGCACTTGAAGCAGTTCGCTGGGTTCTGGCACTCTGCTATCTTGTGCCCTTCTTTCCCACACTTCATGCCGGGTGTGCGTGTGTGAGTGTGTGTGCTTAGTTGTAGTCTTAATTTTAGATATACTATGTACATGATTAATTCTAAGCTTAAATTGTAGGGTTATTTACATATCTATATATATAAAGTTGTGGCGACCAGTCGTGTCGTCACACAATATAATTTATTTATTATTTACAACTTGTGACGGTTTGGTCATTCCGGTGGCTCAAGGATGGCCAGGGTTCGTCTCAGAAATTTATTTGTTGTCTGAGGTGGTTGCTGAAAGAGATGCCGACCCGGTCCCAGAGTAGAACGCCGAGAAATATACCGTAACTATAATTATATGTTTATTGCCTCGAATATTACAACTGTTAAAAAGATTGGGTTTAATCTGCTGCCGCGGGTAGTCGCTCTGGAACGCCGCACTTCAGGGTCAGGTACATCCTTCCCGCTCGGGTCGACAGTGTCGGTGAAACGCCGATGCGCAGATGCTCCTCAGATCTCCTAGAGTGAGAATAACTGGTGGAGGCCCTCAGATCTGCCAGTTAGTGGAATAACTTGTTAGCGGAGACCCTGAGATCTTCCAGTTAGCGAGCAGATTTGTGGAGTCCCTAAGGTCTTCCAATCTTTAGAAGTTTGTAGAGGCCCTAAGGTTTTCTAAGATGAGAAGTTTGTAGAGACCCTAAGGTCTTCTAAGATGAGAAGTTTGTAGAGGCCCTAAGGTCTTCTAAGATGAGAGGTTGTTAGAGGCCCTAAGGTCTTCTAAGATTGAGAAGTTGTTAGAGGCCCTAAGGTCTTCTAAGATTGAGAAGTTGTTAGAGGCCCTCAGGTCTTCTAAGATTGAGAGGTTGTTAGAGGCCCTTAGGTCTTCTAAGATTGAGAAGTTGTTAGAGGCCCTCAGGTCTTCTAAGTTTGAGAAGTTGTTAGAGGCCCTTAGGTCTTCTAAGATTGAGAAGTTGTTAGAGGCCCTCAGGTCTTCTAAGTTTGAGAAGTTGTTAGAGGCCCTCAGGTCTTCTAAGTTTGAGACGTGCACGGAGGCCCTAAGGTCTACCGAGATATATAGAGACTTATAGGGAGGCCCTTAGGTCTTCCAATATTGAGACGTACAGAGAGACCTAAGGTCTTCCACAAGTTATAGACGTAAGATATGGTCGGGATCCCGACTATGGGTTACCGCTTACCACTATACCTTACTTAACCGTGCTCCTTGGGTGACTCCATGCTGCTGGCTTCCCCTTCGCTCCTGTTAGAGGACTTGGCCGATCGCTGGCCGAAAACTGAATGCCTCCCAAGGGCTGGAGCTCGCCTTATATAGGGCTCCGGTGCGGCCCAGTGTGACCGACGCGCCCGGAGAAATTTGCCATCTGTGGCCAGATCCTCATTTGGGCCAGTGTGACTCTTTGCGCTTGATCATGGCGCGCGCACGCATTTAATTTAAATCTATTCCATATATTCATAGTTTCCTATTGTATAATCCATTATTATCCTTATTTTATATTCTATATATATCTTTGTGCGCGTCTGCGCGTCACAAACTATAAATAACAATTACAACTATAGTATATAGTGTGCAATTTGATCTCCTCCTCTCTAGCGGACGAAACCGTGGCCGCACAGTGGCAGGCCGCTTAGCTCATCTGCTCGTTCCTGCCCCTCTCCAGAAGCCTGAGTGACTTCATCACCTTCGCCGCGAATTCCGCCGTCGCTTCCCACATCCTTGGGCTCTCCAGCATTAGCGGCACCAGCGTGACTACACTGATCTCCGTTCCTGCTACCGCCTCCAGCGCTGCCCTTTCTTCGGCGAACCGGCGGCACTCGAAGACGACGTGGCGCGCATCTTCTTGTACGCAGGATCCGCACTCCGGACAGCCGTCCTCGTTCTCGTGGCCGTACCTCTTTAGGTAGCTACGGAAGCAGCCATGCCCGCTCAGCACTTGGGTCAGGTAGAAATCCACCTGCCCGTGCTTCCTCTCCATCCATCCCTCAATGTTTGGGATCAGGCTGTACGTCCATCTCCCTCTGGACGAGGCATCCCATCTGGCTTGCCAGCTCCCGTAGCTCCTTCCTCTGGCCGCTATCTTGGCCTCGGACTTCGCGCCGCGATCTGGCCTATGGTGCCCGCGGAGTGCGTTGCGCAGCTCAGCCTTTTCGCGGACCAACTCCCTCAGAGGGACCAAGCCCGCTATCACTAGCGCGGCGTCGTCCGAGACCGTCCTGAACGCGCAAAGTCTGTATGTAGACTCCGCTCCCCGCATATAGGACTTGGTCGGCTTTAGCCCACACCGGTGCCGCGTACAGCATCTGGGAGGTTACGACGCTGGTCAGCAACTTCCTGATGGTCTGCTTAGGACCTCTGGTATTAAGGAGTATCCGTGAGAGGCTTCCTGTCGTCCTACTGGCCTTCTTCTGGGCGTACTCCAAGTGCTCCTTGAACGAAAGCCGGGTGTCGATCAGAACGCCGAGGTATTTTATTGCCCTCTGCGATCTGATCACGGCTCCGCCAACCCGGATCTCGGCCGTTTCCACGACCTTCCGGCTCGATATCAGTACCGCCTCCGTCTTTTGCGCCGCTAGCTCCAGGCCCGCTCTCGCGAGCCACGATTCGATCGATGTGATCGCATCGTTTGCCAGAGCTTCTGCTGCGGTGCGCTCCTTAGCGACTACGACCACCGCCACGTCGTCAGCGAACCCAACAACGGTCGTGCCACTGGGCATTGGGAGCCGCAGGACGCCGTCATACATGGTATTCCAGAGCAGGGGTCCCAGCACGGAGCCCTGAGGGACTCCGGCGGAGACTTCATATGCTCTGGAACCCATATCCGTGGCCGCTGTGAGCACTATCTCGCTGAAGTAGCTTCGTGCTATCCTCATGAGGTACCCTGGGATATTTAGGGCGGCGAGGGACTCCAACGTTCGATTCCAGTTCGCGGTGTTAAAAGCGTTCCTTATGTCTAGCGTTACCACTAGACAGTAGCTTTTGGAGCCGCCTTTCCACCTCTTACCGGCGATGGCCGATTCGGCTATTCCCGTCACCGCCTCGATGGCGTCCAGCGTTGACTTCCCCTTCCTAAACCCAAACTGGTTTGGGGAGAGACCACCGGCCTCCTCGATGGCAGCAGTCAGTCTGGCTGAGATGATCCGCTCGAATACCTTTCCGGTGGTGTCGGTGAGGCAGATGGGCCTATACGAGGATGGCTCCCCCTGCGGCTTGACCGGCTTGGCGAGTAGCAGTAGCTTCTGCCTCTTCCACCTCTCCGGAAAGGTCCCCTCCTCCAAGCACTTGGAGTACAGGGTGGCGAACGCCCTCGGGTGTAATGCGATGGACAGCTTCAACGCTCTGTTAGGTACGGCGTCCGGCCCCGGCGCCTTCTTGGGGGGCACGCTGTTACCCATCTGGATCACCTCCGCTTCCGAGACTTCGCAGGCGTCGTTTGGGAGACGCTCCGCACTGGGCTCCATGGTCACCGGAGATCCTGTCGGGAAAAGCGCCCGCACGATGCCGTCCAAGGCTTCGGGGTCCGATGGAGCTGTACTACCGGCTCTCAGCCCTTTGACTACCATCCTATAAGCTCCGCCCCAGGGGTCGTCCTCCGCCTGGTCGCAGAGTTGCAGGAAACGGTCCCTCTTAGCGTCCTTTATGGCCGTCTTGAGGGCCTTCCTCGCCGTCCTGTAGGCCTCGCTAAGCTCTACGACTCGTGCCACGCGCACGGGTCAGCTGCCTCCGGGCTCGAAGGCAGGTGCTCCTGAGGTCGGCGATCACATCGCTCCACCAGAACACCGGCCTATGGTTCCTCCGGAACGATCCTCTCTGACGCATGCTCTGGTCACAGGCATGCTCCAGGGTTGTTGCGATGCGGTTCGCCATCTCGTTGGCTCCACCCGTCGCTTCGGCCGCCATGCTGTCCAGCGCGTTTGTGAACGCCTGCGTGCACAGCGTGTCTGGCCGGTAGGCTTTGCTGGGCCGCAGTGCTGCTCTCTCGGGACCTCCCACTGAGCATAGGATAGCCTCGTGATCGCTCCCTGTGTATGCGTCGCAGAATCCCCATCTAGCGGTTTGGGAAATTGCTCCGCTCACAAAAGTCAGGTCGATGATGGAGACGGCTCCTGCTCTGACGAACGTATGCCGCTCACCGTCATTAAGGAGGACGACGTCCGTCGATGCAAATGCCTCGAGTACCGCGCGTCCTCTGGCGTTGGTCGAGACGGATCCCCATTCTTGGGCCCAGGCGTTGAAGTCTCCTCCGACTATGACTTTGGGCCTCCCACGAAGATCGGAGCTTAGGTCGTCCAGGATCCCACTGAACACCTCCAGTGGGAGACTAGGCGCCAAGTAGCAGCTATAGATACAGTAGCCGCCAACTTCCGCCCGGACGAATCCGTCTGCTACCTGGATGTTGGACATGCGCAGCCGCCTGTCTCCGCAGAGCCAAAGGGCCGCCTTGCCAGAGCGGTCCTTGGCCCACTCTCCTCCCACGCTCGCCCTGTATGGCTCGCTGAGTATGGCCACATCCGTCGCTACCTCGCGCACCGTCTGCATCAGCAGGTCCTGCGCCGCTCTGCAGTGATTCAGGTTAAGCTGAATCAACTGCATACGGTCCTTGAAGTGTCGGTACCGCCTCTTCCGGCCTGGCGGCTTTTGCTGCCGGGTCGAACGTTGGCCTCTCCGGAGCTCGCTGGAAGGATCACTGGCTCCTTCTTGCAGGCCACTGCCTTGTGGCCTGCTTCGCCGCACTTGATGCCGCTCTTATCCACCAGGCTCTTACACCTAATGGCGATGTGGCCAAGCTCCAGGCATCTGAAGCAGCGGGGAGGGCCCTCGCGCTCCCGCACTCTACATATGGTCCAGCCTATGCGGACTTTGCCGAGCCGTCTGACCTCCTTCGCCATCGAGCATGGCAGGCTGAAGACCGCCGTTTTGGAATCCCCGTACCCGGGGCGGAGGCTTCGTATCCTCACTGCTCCGTCGCAGAGCTGGTATTGCTCCGCGAGGGCGGTACGGATCTCCTTCTCCGTCGCGATCGCGTCGAGGTTACGTATCTCGAAGACGCAGACCTTCGACTCCTCCGTTAGGGCTCGCACTTCCGCAGCGTCGCCCAGGACCCTGGAGATGCTGTCTCTCATGGACTCAGCGCTCTCTGTGCTCCCTCTGGCTACCTCGAGGAGTAAATTCCCCCTAGCCATCCGGCGAACTTTGGTGACAGCCCCTCCGAGATCGGTCAGCTGCCTGTCCTCCCTTCTCGTGACCAGGGCCAGGATCTCGCTGTAGCTCTTCCCTGGAGCTTCCACTACCACCGCGTCTGGGCGTGCTCTGCGAGTCTGGTTCCTCTTTTTAGCCACTGTGCTCCACGAATTCCCGGCAGTCACAGGCTCGGGTTCAGGTGGCCTTACTACACTCTCATGCCGCCGCTCCGGTACCCGAGGCATCGCTGGGGCATCAGGCCTTGCCTTTTTGGCACCGTTTCTCGGTGCTGCAGGGGCTGCGGCACGGGCTGTGGCCTGGGCTAGGGGGGTTCGCCTCTGCCTGGGGACGTGACTAGCCCCGGCTATGCCGTCTTGTTGGCTGACCCTTCTCCACGGGTCAGTCTGGACTGCCCGATCTTTCCTTGGCACTACCGCCGTCTTTTGTGCCTTGTTTTCTACCAGCTTCCCGGCTGGTAGAATCTGGGAGCATCTGCAGCACACGCTCTCCGGCTCACTCCTTCTCTCTGGCTCCACTGCCGACTGCTCGATGCCGGTTTTGAGCTTCCGCATCTCTGCTATCATCGCCTTCATTGCGATGTTAATATGGCGCACCTGCTTCTCATGCACCAGACCGTGGAGTTCGTCCAGCAGCTTTCCCAGTTTGGTGACGCACTCGTTGCGAGTGAGCGTCCTCTCCTGCTCAACCTCGACGACGGCCTCCTCCTGGGCGGCTTTGCTTCTCTTTGGAAGCGTACCCTTTGAACCGCTCGTCGGGCTGGCCGGGTCTCTGCCCCTCTTGACCGAGTCGGTGGGATCGCCGACCGCACTCCTCTCCGGCGCCGAGGGTGGCACGAGGGGTGGGGAATGTGCCAACAGGCTGCTCTTCCTGAAAGCCGCCGCGTCTCCCCTGCTCTTCTCTTCCTTCTGGCTTGGTGCATTACCTAGCGTGGCGGCCAAGTCAGCCACCGATACGACAGGGTGTGTTGGAGTGTTAGGTAGGGCCTCCAGAATCCTTGCCCTAACCGAAGGAATTCCCACGGGTGGATTTCCACTATTGTGGCTGCTACCTGGAGTATTTAAGTTATTCTCTGACATTCCAAAAATAGGTGCATTGTCGCCCAATGCTAGGCTGCATTTTATACCGTCTGCCAGGTGTTAAAGCTGCCGGCCACTATGGCTCAGACGCAGACCAGATAGCCGCCCACTTTGGGTCAGACGCTACCTGGATTTTTGGGTGCAGCTGGGGCCTGCTGCTAGGCTTGATCATCTGCCGGCCACTATGGCACAGACGTAGATCACGTAGCCGCCCATTGTGGGACAGACGCTACGTGGAGGGGAGGGGTGGCATGTGCACTTGCGAGGTCCCTCGTTGGCCAGGGGTTTCCCCGTGACTAAGCAGGTGGGAGTTTTACCGCTCCTGCTCGGTCGCCAGACCCCTTTTTACAGGTGTACCGTATAGCGGTGGGGTTGGCTATTGGTCTGCTCCATGACCTTTACCACCTTACTTATCCTCTGTGCGAGCCTTGGGTTTGGCTTTACAGCCGCTACCTCCTGCCAAGGATCAAGAGCAGCAGCTAAAATGAAATGAAAGCTATGCTACATTTTGCATTTGCAGATCGCATATGCACGTCGTAGCAGGTAGCTTTTGTCTGCGCGACAGCTGTCACGATAGCGCCACCTGCCGGTCGGTTTGCACAGCGCCACCTGGTGGCAGCGGAGTGTTGCCAGACCTGTGCAGTGTTCGACGCTTCTCAACACTCGGTCACAGCTGATCTCGCCCACAGCTGACGTGACTGGCATATGTTGCGGGGGCAGCCACATTTGCCACGAGAGAGAAGTTCGCGAACGGCTCTCCGGGTGTGTGTGTGTGCGCTAGTGGTGTGAGAACGGGGGGAAAAGATAACTACCGATTATCGCTTAAGCTTAAATTAATACAATTATTAATTAGATATAATATAGATCGTACACTAGAAATCTACAAAGTTTTATACAGAGTATTCGCGAGCGTTTTGTTTAGTTTTGGCCCTTGGCCGCCTGTGTTGTTTTGGTTTTGGGTTTTCGGCTGCTGTTGTTGTTGTTCGGCTGCTGCTGTTGTTGCTGTTGTTGTGGCTGCGGGAGCTGTTTTTGTTGTCGGAGGCTGGCGCGGTTGTCGTTGTAGTTGGCCGCCAGTATTTGTGGGGAGTCGAACGACTCCTCACATCCCCCTCTTTCTTCGGGGGCGCGAAAAAATGGAAATCTCGTTCTCCGTGGTGATGTGGACGCGGCGGATGTGATGGCCGCGGCCAGCCCTGGCGTCTCCTTCTCCTTGCCCGGGGAAGAATTTCCCGGGATGACGGTGGCCAGATCATCGTCGTCGTTGCTTGTGGTGGCGGCCGTGGCCAACGCCGGCACCCTCTCTCGGAGCTCGCGGTCACGTCTCCAAAGGTCACTCGACGGGGAGCGGATGGTAACAGGCTTGGCACCACCGCTGCTGTCCAGGGGTGTATGGCCTTTTGGCCCAGGCCTGAGACGAGCTTTCTTGCGTCGAGCGGGCTGGCTGGTCCGTGTCAAATCGACGGCTTGAGTATAACGCGCTGTAGGAAAACAAAGTTTTATTAGCCTTTCATGTTTACTAATATGACTAACTAGTGGTTTTAGTTGGGGGTTAGTTATTAGTGAGGGGGAACGTGGGCTAATGCTGGTACTGGGAGCGTTGAGTTTCGCCCTTAGGGGGTGGGAACGTTGGGAAGGCGCACCCTCCAGCAAGTGGCCCCCACTGACTCAAGCATGGGCTCCTGTCGCCGTGTTCCTGGTTGGCTCTTGCCTTGGCCAGGATCGAGCGTCTCTCGACGGCTTGTTCGGAGCAAATTCTTTGTTACTGTGCCGTCTTCATACGGACTTCTGGAGCTGCTGCTGCGCTGCTGTTCTCCGTGTGTGCTTCCGCCGTCTGCAAGTATCCTTGAATGCTTCTCCGTTGCTTCCGTCTTGATGCGGGTATTCCTGTGTGATGATGCTCTGCTTCTCTGCTGCTGCTGCTGCTCTGCTATTTCCGCCTTGGTGCGGGTCTTCTCGCTGTTGTGGCCGCCGTGTGCGAACTCCTGATGCTGATGCCGCCTTGAGCGGGGTTCTCGCTGATGTGCCGCCGTGTGCGGGCTCCTGCTGCTATGCCGCCTGGGTGCGGGATCCTCGATGACGTCGGGATGGCTTGCATCCCGTTATCTGGATCGTTGCTTGCTGATGCGGGTTCTGTGGCTTCGATGTTGTCTGTTGGTTCTGAAGAAAACGCATTTGTTAAAACAGCGGGTAGACTTGGATCGTTCTTGGGGCTGGGTACTAGCAGAGGGTTCAGCTGCAGTGGAGCGCGGCCACATTGGATAGTGGCAGATACGCCACAGAGGAAATCTATGTCCAACAGCACGTCTTCCACCATCGAAGGTAAAACTAACAGTGGAAAGGTGACCCATTGTTGGTCCAACTGGACTTTGGCTATCAGTGAGTTGTTTATTTCCCTGCGCGAGCCTTCTGTCAGGCTGACATGTGTGCGTACCGACGTTCTGTGGTGTCCCTACTCGTTGAACAACTCGTTCGTTCACGAAGCTCCTGCTGGCTCCGGTATCTATCGTTGCATTAAATATTTGACCCTCGATCTGTACCTGCGCGATGATTCTGCTAGCCTGAACCTGAAAAATCTGTCCTACTTCCGGGAATTTCAGTTTGCAGTCTCCGGCCGTTCCCCGAGAGGGCGAGGACTCCACTCGTTTCCCGGATGGGTACGACGGCAACATTCGTAAGTGCGTATTCCTCTGCGACCACAATCCCAGCAGAAGAGAACTCTGGGATTGCACAGTTCCTGCAAGCAAATCTACAATTCGGCACAATCGAAATGTTTCCTACTCGAGGACCTGGTTGTGGAACTGCGGCTGATGTGGGTGGTCGCCTGGCTGGCCGCGCGAAACATGGGTAACTCGTTGGTGGTACTCCTGCATAAACCGCGGTCTCGTGGTCATCTCTTCTTGGTGGTGGCTGTAGTTCGGCCAACATTCTTGCATGGCTTCCTGTGGCTCGATCGCGGGTGACCTCGTAGTTGACCGCTAGAGTGGTAAGCTGCTCCAAAGTTGTGAAGTCGTGTCTCCTGGCGTACATCTGATAATCTGGCTGGAGATTCTCATAGATGCGTTCAAACTCCTGTTCCGCGTTGTATCCCGCTCTGTGCATCATGAGTCGAATGTTTACCAGGTACTGCTTAAATGCCTCTCCTTGTCGTTGGTATCTGTTGCGGATCTCATCCTCGAGTCGTTGAAAATACCTGGGTGGCAGGAAGAAATCCAGAAACGCCTTCTTGAAGTTCGTCCACGATTCTCCTAGCAGCTGACTTGTCCGAAACCAGTGTTCGGCCGTGTCTGTCAAGAGACCAGGGATGGCCTGCGGCATCTTCTCCACGTCGACTTCATATGCGGTGGCTCGTTCCTCGAAGTGCTGGATAAAGGTAATGGGGTCCGTGGTCCCATCGAATTCCCCAATTTTTCAGTTTCTCTGCGAGCGTGGCTGCTGACATCTCGGACTTCTTGGGAAAAATGTCCCGTGTGACCGGGTTGGTCTCCATGTCCCCGACTGTAGTGGCGGCACCTCTGCCTTCCTGGGTTGACGTCTGAAGCTGCGTTGGAGCCGGTGGGTGTGGATTCGGACTCGGTGTACGTTGTTTTCTCACCGTTAACACGGCTGTGATCTCCGCCTCGCATTCCTGTAGCCGTTCGGCTATCTCCAGCACATGATCATCCCGATTATTAAATGCGGCCAACCGGCTCCTCATTTCCTCGACTGTTCCGGTTGCTTCCAAGGAAAACTCCTTCAAAATCGCCTCCAGTTCTCGCTTCCGCAGATACGAAATCCAACGCGCGCCCATATTGCTGTGAAATAATTAGTCAAATGGCAAACGACAAGAAAAATTTCGATAGGTCGAGAGAAATATTTCAGGCGAGGGTCAAGCGACGTTTGAACTGGTTGGAAAAAAATCTTCAGTGAAATATTGGATTTTATTTGCCACAGAAAATTTACTCAATGCCCACGTGCAACTAGGTTGAACCCAAATTCGATGTAAAAACGGCGATTTAATTCTGCAGCTCTTCTGGACGGCGCACAGTAGCGCCTTTTCTCATTTAGCGTTGCAAAAATCATAACTTTTGAACCAAATGAGATAACTAAATAATTTAAACGGCATTGGACAGGTAATTGTTGTAAAATTTATATATGTACTGCATAATGTGCCACGCCCACAAATAGGGTATTTTATTGGGTATCAAAGAGAAAAATATTTTTTTTTTTCTATGAAAACGAATTTTTAAAAACAAAAGATTGTTAATTTTTTTGCTTTATTTTTATTTAATTTATAAAATAAAAATATTTTGAACACTGAAATTTTTTTTTTTTTTTTTTTTTACAATTTTTTTGTTATTTTTTAATTTTTGGTTAATTTTGACTACTTATTACTAAATATATGCTTTTATTTGAGGAATTTCTAATAGACTAAGCATTTCTGGACTATAATCACTTGATTCTATCTCTTTTCGTGATTTTACATGCCGTAGAGATGCAATAAATCAGATGATGCAGCCAACATGTTGAACAGGTCCTCATTTTGCATCAGTCTTGATGACTTGTATTTCTTATAGAATTTATTCAGCGACTCCTGAGCTTCTTCCGAAAGTTCTCCAATAGGCAAAGATTGATATCCAATTATATCTTTACCATGTTCCAAAATTTTGTGGACTGTCGGGGTCAATCTTTTATGTGGATACTTCTGAGCCAAAAGTGAAGCTGTGATGGAAGCATATTCCCCATATTTTACGGAATCAATTTTCTCCTTGCAATTGAGTACATTCAAGATCGTACCCAATCTTTGAATGATTTCCTCGTCAACTCCAGTGATTTCTGCCGCAACATGGCAATTTTCAAAAAATCTCCGAGAAGTATTTCCATCGTTTGAGTTTCCATATCCCGGTTTTGGGTCTTTTAAAGGGTTACATCATGCACGTGTTATACCTGTCCATCTTTGTAAATATGTCCCAAATTCATGTTATGCAATTTTTAGGTAAGACATTTTTTACCTAGTACAACCCAAAACTATTTTGTAAACAACAAAATTGTCTACCTGTTTTTTAAAAGTACTCTTTTTGCCCCTTTGGAAGTATAATCAGGTATAAATATGAAACCTAGTACAGCCCAAAACTATTTTGTAAACAACAAAATGGTCTACCTCTTTTTAAAAGTACTCTTTTTTGCCCCTTTGGAAGTATAATCAGGTATAAATATGAAACCTCCAAACCCATTTTAAAAGGTACGTTTTGTCCTTCAATACAGAAAACATAAACAGATTGAAAGTATTTGGTATGCAAAACAGTTGCGCGCTAAATTTGGTATATAGTATATACCGTGTAAGTGGCGGTTATGGTATTTTGGTATATTTTACCCTGAGTTGTTTTGGTTTTTTGCGTTGCATTTCCGCAGACGCAGCTCGACGCAGCCGATGAAAGTTAATTCTGATCCAGGAAAGATTCACGGAACTTGTAGTCATAGTGTAGTCAGTGGCCGGCATTGGCGTCAAAAGATATAGACTACTTTAGGCAGAAAAAGGTGAAAAAAATGGACACCTGGCAGGTAGCGATTTACCTGTAGAAGCCCAAACCAAAGTGTCGTTTTTTTAGGTTCTTTAATAGTTTATGAATGTATCTATAATTTAAAGTAAAAACCATGACCATTGGTTTTATGGTTTTTGTGTAATATTACCTGAAAGTCGACCATTTTACCTAATTTTTTTGGTATGATGCAAAAAACAAAAGAAAGTTCAACTTTGAATGCTCATATCTTCTACAAAAAAAATCTTAAAATAGATTTTATTGCAAATTCTGAATCCTTGGGAAATTTTCTGGTGAATAAGTATGGTTAAAATCGTTTTTGTGAACATGACTTTTTTGATTTTTGCAACGCTTATTGTTCGAGAGGCGATACTGTGCGACGATGATTTTTGGTTCCCGTTGAAAACTGCGACTGTACGCGTTGACTCGACGACGGTTGAAAAAGAAGAGCGCGAACCGATGCTTTGCTGTTGACTGTCCTCGATCGTTGCTTGCTGGTGGGAAGGAGACGACGATTAGAGTGAAGGGCGAAAACAAAATGGCTGCGCTGTGGGGAATTTACGTTAGCTTTTCCCTACCTCGTGCTTTTGAAACTCTCGCGACCTGACTTGGCTACCTAGAGGGCTCTCGCTCTCTCTCTTTTGCTCTGCTCTGCTTATTTGCCTGTGTGCGTTTCCTCACGTGCTTTTACTGATCACGTGATCTCGTAACTAATAACCTCTGGTTTCTAGGTTGTGTTCTCTGCTCTGGCTTAGAAATGTATGCGTTTGTCTACGTGTGCTAAGAGTTTATTGGTGTGGGTATACTTTTGATCAAGTTCTCCCGATTTTACCATGTGCTTCGCTTAAATTCTAAGTTTCTCGACTTTGAGGTTAGGCCCGATGCTCTGGATATATTGTATCAAAATATATATATATATATTTCCCTATTTTTCTGCCCTAGAAATTTCGGTGTCCCTCGACATCCGACTCTCCTTACGTTCCGACTTAAACATTTATCTCTAAGTGGCGGAACCGAAAATTTTTCGAACTTTACGTATCCGGATGAGTCTTCAGGACATATTTTCGTCGTCTAAAATTCTTAAACCCCATGTCCCTGTTCGGGCGCCATTCTGTAAGGAGTTCTAAGGATGGGGTAGGTCTCAGTCTCGTCCAGGTCCTCTTTATCAGAAAAATTTATAAAGAAATGGAACAAAAGGTATTTGACGTGCGGTAAACTGACGTGAGATGGTAGTTGTCAGTTACCGGGATACGAAGCCAGAGAAATGGCTTGTCCGGTCTTTGCAATTGAGCGAAATAATAAAATATTTCATAATAAATTCCCAACTGATTTTTATCCTAAGAACGATCGGGGCTGAGCGAATAATATTTTTAATTTATAAATTTCAATGCCGGTTTTGAGAAGTTCGGGTCCACCCTTTTTTTCTCTACATGTCTCGTTTGACAAAAGTTGGCGTAGGTCAAGAGAAATAACAGGGGCGACAGCGAGGAGATTTAGGTTTTCAATCGAAATATATACATATAAGTTTTATTGTTAAATTTTCAGGTTTTCTATTCATATTTATTTAGATTGGTTCTGCGCTTTAGTTTTCCTTTTGTTTTCTCATTTTTTTTTTCTCTGGGCTTAATTTATAAAACTTTCTCCGCAGGTTAAATTGTTTAAATTTTCTAGCCTACTCTAAGTGAATCCGCATCGAGGCCTTTGAGAAATTTCTAAATGCACGTTATTCTCGCTGGCCAGAATGCGGTTCACCCTAATCACTCACCCGTCTCAAACTCCACGCACACACACACGCGCGATGTCTCCAAGTGCTCCGCCGCTGGTCCTGGGCCGGGCACACGCTCTCCGAGATCGCCTGGTTGATCTCCTCCTAGATTGTCGTCAGCCGGTGGCTGGAATCGGGCGCTCCTGATCGCCGCCGCTGTTGGCCTCGCGCGTCGAAGCTGGCTTTCGCATCCCTCCGGTGGTCTCCTTGGTCACTTGGAACTTCCGCGTCGTCACTCGATGCTCACTGTCCACCGCACTTAGCAATCGCACAATCTGGCTCGAAGTTGTACATATTTTTCCGCTCGCACTTCTGATTTAGTTCGCCGCCTCCGCAAGAGTGAAAAAATATGCCATGCGTTTTGCAAGTTTCGGCCTCGCTGGTAATTTTCCACTTCTCGAAGTTTCAGTGCATTCCTTCGCTCTCGCTCTTTCATTGGCGCGTGCCAATTTTCGGGGGTTCTTTTGTGCTTGATCGTATGTCCTCTCTCTCTTGCTCCTGCACGGCGCTGGCTCCGTGGCTACTTGTTCTCTGCTCTCCGGGTGTGTGTGTGTGTGTGTGTGCGCTAGTGGTCTGAGAACGGGGGGAAAAGATAACTACCGATTATCGCTTAAGCTTAAATTAATACAATTATTAATTAGATATAATATAGATCGTACACTAGAAATCTACAAAGTTTTATACAGAGTATTCGCGAGCGTTTTGTTTAGTTTTGGCCCTTGGCCGCCTGTGTTGTTTTGGTTTTGGGTTTTCGGCTGCTGTTGTTGTTGTTCGGCTGCTGCTGTTGTTGCTGTTGTTGTGGCTGCGGGAGCTGTTTTTGTTGTCGGAGGCTGGAGCGGTTGCCTATGTAGTTGACCGCCAGTATTTGTGGGGAGTCGAACGACTCCTCACAGTGCAGTGTTGAAAACTACTTGACCTATCCAAAAGAACCTAGTCCATACGATGTCCTCATGCATGCTGAACATATTCGAAATATTCCAGCACAATCGATTAAGTCGTTTTCGAGATTTCGTGTTGACCAGTTGAAAAAACGTGGTTTTGAGAGAAGCGCAAAAGAAATAATCATTGCAGGAGTAACCTGCCTCCATCCAGCTGGAAATCGAGCGACTCCTAGTCTAGGTTCCATCTGAGCTTTAAGTGAAAAGTACATAGTTAGGAAAGCAATTAATGCAAAAAAAAAATCTATTGTTTAAAACGTTCACATGGGTCAACAGCCTTAAACGAAAACGAATTCATAGTGCCTCCATTTAAATAATATATATTTGAAATTAAGGAAATAGTCCAAATTTTCTATGGCATCATAATATCCATCATCCTCAAATAGAGCCGTATTCAGCGTAGAGGAGAAGAGTCATACCGGTCATATGAAGGCGGTTATTTTTGTAATTTTTTTATTATTAAGAATAGCAAATA